GGGTGGGGGTGGGGGGGGGGGGGTGGTGGTGGGGGCGGGGGGGAGGCAGATTACCCATATACTTCAACACTCGTTTTAGATTGTCTTGTATACAAATGGTAGGTTATCGCGTACAAAACAAAGAGTCTTTCAACCCTGATTATAGTTGTCCATGTTGTTCATTGATATTGCGAGATCCTGTACAATTAATAGATTGTGGCCATAGAATTTGTCAGTCATGTGCAAATGAACAAGAAGGGTAAATAATATATAATATTAATTAATTTATTTTAAATATTTTCTTTTCTTTTTTCTTTTTAAAAGCGACATAATTACATGTTCTGAGTGTCACGAGAAAACAAATCGAAATAAAGTAAGATACTTGTCAATATTTTCAATTAAAATCTTTTTTTCTTTAAGTTATTAATCGATCGAGGTTTTAAAAATGATATGCAGATATTACCAGTTGTGTGTTCACTTTGTAATTGGACTGGTATATTGAATATCTATCAAGTAAAATTTTGTTTTTTCCTTTTGTTTTATTTCTATTATTTGAATTTATCTTGAAGAATCATCTTGATCAAAATCATCAAAATCCGACATGTGATTCTTGTGGTCAAAAATTTAGTTCAGTAAATAATCTTGATCGACATATACAATACGATTGTGAAAAAACCACTGTAGATTGTCTATTAAAACAATTTGGATGTCAAGAAATGGTACATTTATACGTATTTCTTTTCTTATTTAATAAAATTTCTCGTTTAGATTCTTCAAATAAATCTTTCTAAACATTATCTTAGTGAACAACATCAACATGTTTTAATGAATGTTGTTCGTCACTTGAAATCAATATCATCAAATGATATATATAAACATCTTCAGATTCCATCAGAGACGACAATTAATCATCGTCAACGCACAGATAATGAAACGATTCAATTACAAGAGATCGATGAAATAATTAAAGTTCTATTAGATGGTGTTGAAACATTAAATGATGATTTACAACGTCTCAGTAATGAATCTGTTCATCATAAAAATCTACTCGATTCTTTGACACCAAACTTATCGACACTAAAAATATCTATGGAAGAACAAAATAGGTATTTAGATGGCATCAAAATTAATCAAGAAGTTCTTCAACAAGATATTGAATCAATGACACAAAAACTTAACGATATGAAAACGAGTTCTTATGATGGAACCCTTATGTGGAAAATAATCAATGTACAAGAAAAAATGGGTCAGCAATTAAGAAATTATTAAGCTTTACTCAGATGAAAGAACGATTTTTCCTCAGTTAATTTCACTATCTCTTTGCCTATGTTCAGGGTTTTTTTTTAAATTGTTAATGTAAAGAAATGAGATTATAATAAATGTTGATTGATAACAGTTTTCTGGTCTATTAACAACATAGAACTTCAATCATAAAACTAATTTTACAAATTTGAAACGCTTCTGTGAGACTTAAAAAAGAGAAAAAAGTTTACTTTAAAATTCAAAAACGAAAGAATCTTCTTAGTAGTTGATTAATTAGTTTATGAAGAACTTTATTGCCTGAGTTTTGATATTTATATTAGAAAAAAGATTGAATAATTATCATTGATTGTCAAATGAGTATCTATTTGATTATAACAATTTTTCTTCTGTTCATGAAGATTTTTTTATGACAAGTATTTTTATATGGATATTTAATAAAATATTTATTTTAATATTCTGAAAAAAATAATATTTAATTATCCTTTTTTCAAATCTTTAGATGCTAAGAATGTTAAGTATTCAGAAGATATTTACGCGATCAATGGTATTATGTTTACATGTATCGTCGATAAATAAGCACTAGTGAAATATATTTTTCCATGAATAAGAAACATTATTATCTATGCGTACAAAGAAATCTTAAGCATTGAGAAGTATTTTAAGGGTATGAGTAAGTTGTTTAGAAACTTTAAATGTTTATTTATTTATTTAGTAGATGCTCAATCGAATAAACAAGCATCGATTTATTCTCCATCTTTCTATTCATCACCTACAGGTTATAAAATGTGTCTTCGACTTTATTTGAATGGTGATGGAACTGCTCGACAAACACATATGTCATTATTTTTCGTTCTTATGCGTGGTGAATATGATGCCATTTTAAAATTTCCATTTAATTTTAAAGTGATATTTTGTTTGTATGATCAAAATAATCAACAAAATAATATTATTGATTCATTTCGACCTGATATAAAATCAAGTAGTTTTCAACGACCACGTTCGGATATGAATATTGCTAGTGGTATACCAAAGTTTATTCCTCTAGCAACGTTACAAAATGAAAATAATTCATATGTACGTGATAATACAATGTTTATTAAAGTGACCATCGATTTTGACAATATGCCAAAAAGACTTGTATCTTATGCATTAAGTCTTAACCCAGGCTTGACAAATTCCATACAACAAACAATGATTCGACAGGAACATGAACGACAAGAACAAGTGTTAATTTCTTCAACAACAAATCTTCAGACAGATCAATCTGTAGCAGAGAATCTATCAGATGACAATATACTTTTAAATATCCCAGCGAACGAAAATATCAATCAAATGACACCATGATTAGAAACATTTTTCTTCAAGTTAATATTATATTATGCAATCGAGAAACAGAAAATTTTTAAAGCATGAATCACACAGTGTCTAGAAAGTACCTTTCTATTTTAAATCCTTTATTATTCTTAAACAAGAACATATATCCTAATAACATTTTTTTATTGTTTTGAAATCTGTTTAATACAATTTAATTTCATATATTAATATTGCTATCTTATTGATGACGCGGAATGGATCATTTGTTCATCTATACAATTCATTCATGCTAGCTCATTCACACATGCACATACGCACCCATCCACACTTACGCACTAGATAGCCATATTAATTTATCTGAAATAAAATTATATTAAATACACTTTAAAACAGTAAGAAAAAAGGTGTTAGGATATCTCTTCTCGTTTACACGTAATAAATTATTCAATATAAGGACTTATTTTTCAGACACTCTTTAGATAAAATTCGTGCTTAAGCTTGGACAGTCAAACGATTAACCATATTGGTTTATTTAAAACAATATGGCATCAAACATACTTCAAAAAAAAAAAAAAATGAAAAAAATGTTACGATATCTGTTCTTGTTTAAGAGTAACAAACGATTTAAAATCAGAAGTTACTTTCAAGACATCCAGTATATGTAAAAACTGTTGTCATGCTATTGAATGTTAAAAAAATATTTTTTGTATTCAGATTTTTGTTATTTCGTCTGTAAATAAAAGCTATTGAAACACCTGTTTCAACTGTTAAATAAATTTCTAATTAAAAACTACTAGTTGATTATTGAATATCGCTAGTGCTGCTTTCGAATATCATTGTAGATACGACAAAGAAGGTATCTCAAGTTTGTTTAGCTGAGAAAAATTTTTAATCATTTATCATACTATTTCAAAATAACCAACGAGGATCAAATAGAAAAAAATGCATAGCTAAGATTCCGAGTGTGAGATCAGTGAAATTGACGAGTAATAAAACTCCAATATGAAGAGCAAGAAAAGAAAACCAATAAAGTTTGCGCGTATGATAAAAGAGACCAAGAGGAACAAATGAAATTTCTGCAAAAAGTGATGTCCAAGTACATGTTTGAAGAATAATTGGGTGGGTATTAAGTAAAAACTGACATAAACCATTATCACGTGATAAAGGAGACTTTAAGACGTAACTCAACGCACTACCATCAATCCAACTAGGTGATTGTAATTTGTGTAAGCCGCTTATTGTATAACCTAATGCATACAAAGTCCAACCTCCCCAATAGAGCCAAGGAAAGACTTGTGGACTAATTTCAAGTTCATTATTTTCTTCATCATCTTTCTTTGAATTTGTAAAAGTAATAAGACTAAATGCCAAGAGAAGTAAACCAACATACGGAATGCCAGGATTCAAAATAAGTACATTACGATTTAAGAGACATGCCCATCCATACCACAACAAAAAAGCGATAAGACGTGGTGCAACAAGTCGCAAGGCAAACATCACTGACAAACATGTCAAAGAAATAATAAAAACACTCAAAAGTTTAGGAGAATAATCAATCCAATGAAGAATATTTGGAAAGTAACCATATGTTGGATTCCATTGTGGATCAGCAATCATACCAGTACGACTAAATAATTCCGTCACATGAGGAATTAAATATGCAAAATGAATTGTTAGATAAGAACCAAATGTGAATTGAAAGATTTTTAATTGACGTACTGTGTACCATTTTGTACAAGTTGTTGACGATGACGACATGTTTATGATGAATAAGATGCAAAGTAAAATGGCCGAATTTATTAAGCACAGAAAAAGAAACAAAGAAATCTTTATATGACGCGTGTTATAGAATGATGTCATACTACTGTATGAATCATTTGTGAAGCAATATTTGCCACGTATGTTCTGCATAAGAATAGGAAAAGAGTGAGAGAAAAACAGGTTGTTACACTTGTGCACGTTGGTCAGAGGTGATAAACATGAAACAAATGACGCTGTCACCCAGGAAACAGCCTGATTTTTTGAAAAATAAATTTATATATATTGCATCATGTTTATACTCTTTCTTTTTTTAAACATAACTATTTTTTAACATGTAAATACGACTAAATCTAAATTTGAAACTTGCATTCATTTATCGAATTGCAAAAAATCAATGCAAGTTTCAATCAGTAAACGTCTGCTTATACATATATTGAGAATTATTTTGACTTGTTCTAAGATATAAAGAGAAAATGTTACTTGGATTAGTGATCATAGTCAGTGGACTAGGATATTTAATGATGTTGGAACGTCTCTTTCCAGATCAACCATTGGTGTACGTATCAGGTTGGTGGAAACGTGTTATATTCATTAATTTGTATCAGCTATTAGTGGTTGTCATTGGCACTTATACATGGGAGATCTGGCTACCCGATGCACACTTATTTCATTTGCGTGACTTTGTTTCACCCATGATGGGTGGCATCATTGCTTACATCATTCATACGTGGTTATTCTATTGGTTTCATCGTGCACGACATAATGTCTATTTCTTGTGGCTTTGGTTCCATCAACTGCATCACAGTGCACAACGAATCGAGGCAATAACATCTTTTTACAAAGCTCCTCAAGAAATTCTCGTCGATTCAATCATTATGACGATATTGCTCTATCCAGTATTAGGTCTCTCCAGAGCATCAAGTGTTTGGTTGTCAGCTTTTGCTGCTTTTGGTGAATATGTTTATCATATGAATATCAAAACACCACAATGGATAGGATATTTCTTTCAACGTCCTGAAGCTCATCGAATTCATCATCTACGTAATAAACGTGATCATAGTAAAAACTATGGTGATCTGCCATTGTGGGATATTCTAGGTGGTACATTTGAGAATCCAGCGAAAATGGATCGACCAACGGGTTTTCCAGTCGAAGATGAGAGCAGAGTACTGGAAATGATTTGTGGTCGCGATATACTCTTGTCACCCAAACAAAAAACGAGACATGCCTATAAACAACGATATACACTTGCAAGTGTTGGAGCCATTTTCTGGATCATTCTTGGTCTAGGTCAATCTATTGGTTACGTCTTTAACATGCCGCAATTACGTGGCCTCAGTTTTGCCACTGTAGCATCTCCGTTACCTCTCGTTTTTTCAGTTGCCCCGAATGGAATGGAAACATTTTCTACCAGTTTTCGTCTCCAAGTCTTTGAACAATCCCAAATTACATGTAATGATACTGAAGAGTGTACATCTGATCATCTAGTGATGGATACTGTCTTGACACCTAAACTCTACGGTACACTCAATGATAAACCTTATAATTTACGAAATGCGTATGGTGTTCTTTTTTCTCATGGGCCCTTTTTTCAAGATAAAAAAACTTTGAATCTGCGCAATCGAGTTTTGAAATATAGTCTATGTAATAATGGTCCCTTAGCACGTGCATTCCATTTACCGACGAACACGAGTCGTATTCTGGTACATGTGCATTCTCATACTAAAACACAACGACCACATCAAAAAGATTGGATAATGAACATTGGCTGTCTATAAATATGTTTTGTCTGATGCTGATTTTATTTTTTTTTGCATTGTTTATATCTCATTTTGTATTTTATAACTTGTTTTCTTTTTCTTTCTTTAAAACATAAACGGAAGTAAGTGTAAGAACCACTGACAACGTCATTTTGCTGTCTATTCAATGATCTAAAGCAAATGCATATTATTTGGTAGAAGTGGAAGTTGTATGTAACAGTACAATGCTTTTGAAGAATTTGTTACAATCATTAAATGAAACGCTAAATATATGAATAAATATCTGCATCTATTAATTTTTCGATGAACTAAACTCCTTTTGTAGTAAAATTTACAGAATGCGTAGATAGTTACGTATAATTTTTTGAATCATTCTGCTTTTCCCGATTAAAGAAAAGAATGTGAACTTTTTTTCAATTAATTACGAAAGTTGAAAAATTCTAAATCCTGAACCGGTGATTATTAAAAGATTAAAAACCAAGTAAATATCAGCTTGATGAGGATACATATTTTTGGCGATTCAATTAGATATATGAACAAACAAACGAAACAATAAATGTACTTGAAGCAGAACATGTATGAGACTGATGCGAGCGATGAAAGAAACGATATTTCGAATCGAAACAACGATACTCGTGATAGAGACGACTACTAATTGAAGATTCATTTCACGGATGGCATTGCTACATGACACGTTAGCCTTCATGGTACGTCTGAAGTAAGACGCGAATGATGAACACCCTTTTTGACCAACATTACTGATAACAATAAAAGATTAAATAGGAACTTAATTACAAAGTATATAGGAAGTTTTTTAATTGACTAAATTGATAAAACATATCTAACGTGCATTGCATTAATAACATATATTAACACTGGTAAATTAAATGTTATTAAATAATCAATCCAATATGCAACAGAGATTGATAGTAGTCGAAAAGATACAAATATTTTTTTTTTTGAAAAAGATTCAATAAAAGTCAAAAAATTCGTGTTCAATGTAGGCATCACGGATGAATATGTGATCAATTACAATAGACGAGTAATTATATACAATACAGATCAGAAGAGACAAAATATGAATGTTTGTATAGGTACACATCGTGTAAGTCATACAATCAATTTTAATGGCACGTTGATGATTATCTTCATAAAAGTAATCAAGTATTATTTTCAACATCAAACTGTGATAACTCATCTGAATTAAATTTTCGTAATGATAAATGATTTGAGAAAAGATCATTATTACGAAAGTCGGCAAACAGTGTGAATGACGTAATGCTAAATCGAGTTTCCTTTTTTTTTTTAAATCTCGGTCCGTAAATAACAAAACTATTCTTTTGTTATTTCAATTGAATAGAAAAAAATTTTATTGTCGTCATGTTCTAATAACTAACTGAATGATTGACTTCTATCCTCAATGACTTTCATATAATGCAGTTCTTTGGAAAACCTATCTTTTTTGCTGATAATGATGAATGCAGTACTTTGAAATAAAAAGAATCGGTATTCAAAAATATTCCTTCCGAGAGAGATTTTTTCTAATGATCGTTAAGAAGCAATATTTCAAACGATCTTAAATTAATGTTAACAATACAATAACATTGGTATATATGGGCGTGAGCAACCGACTTGGTACCCCATTTTGATACAGTCCTATTGTAAGGATAAAACATACTATTGTTCGGGTCATATAAGAGAGAATCCTAGATAACCCTGGATTGGCCCGNGCCTAAATCAAGGTGCAGAGTTCAAACTTGAGCTTAGTTCGGTCCCATGTCCTATAGGTTTGGCAACGCGCAATATAAATCAACGTTTTAAATGGTAGATTTCACAGTATGATTTTGATATTCAGACAGTCTAGGAGGATTGATTTGTATGATTCACTTTTTGAAGTACACATAACTCTCGGATTTAAATCCGAAGTTTCCGCATTTATTTTTTTATTAAAAAGAAAATTTATATTCTTTTGATTTTTTTGGTAGACTAAAAAGGTGTTATTTGAATAGACAGGATCCAAGCTGACAGTCGACGGTCATTTCGAGATGTTGATCTGAACTATCTAATGGTTTCATAGGATTGAAAATCATTTACCCATTGCTATCTTCTTGATCTAACGAAAAGTGACATACAGAAGATCGATCTGATATTTCGATGTCGTCGAATGATTTATGTAGGTTGAATACTAATGAGAAATATTTGCAGAGTTTCGAGTGATCGATTTTACGATCTTTCGAGTTTTTTGTTTTAAGTACCAAGATTTAAGATGAGAATATTTAATTATTCAAATAGTTTCGAAGACATGAAAATAAACTAGCAGTTCAAAATTGTTCCATCGAATATTTTTTTGCTATCGAGTACTGAAAAATCGTCGTAGTTTCAACAACCTAAAAATTACAAAAAATTCAAAAGCTAACAATTAATTATAATAACATTTTCATCAAGAATACATACACATTCCAATAATGGTTCTAGATGCAGATAAGAAATAATTACTTTTATTTATATCTTTAGAACACATAGATATTCTTTTAATATTATCATTGAATAAAAATAGAGAATCTTTCAAATATCGAATTTTGAACAAGTTTTAAGCAACAAATATTAAAATCAACCATTGAAATCTTTTCTTTTTTCGATAGGTTTGTTCTCAATGATCATTCGAAATTTTGATGAGCTTCCAACGATCGAAACGACTTCGAGTAACCGAACGAATCTTTCCAATAGATTGATATTAGATTTTTACCGAGGGAATCGAAACTCGAAGAGAACGAGAAACCAATATATTTTCAATTTTCGAACATTCTTGTATCCATTGTTGGCTTTTTAAGGCCTACTCAGACAGACACAAAAGGATTTATATCCATTTATGTCTTACAACGCTTGATGTTTGGTAATAGGAAAAAAAAACAATATTATTCTTATTGATTTGAATGAAATGAAGATTGATTATTAAAGAGTATGTATGTCATTTCAAATGTTAGCTATTGGAACAAGGTTTAACAAAAATGTACGTTTTATTATTTTTTTTCTATAATACTAAGCAATCAGCTCAAATTCAGATAGTGATATTAATAGTTAATGAAATTTTCCATCTAACACATTCTATAACACGATTTCCAAAACACCAAACATGATGATTTCACGTCCCAAACAACTTTGTCGCAGTTATGTTTAGACAATGTTATTTTAAAGAATACAAAATTCTGAACAAGAATATACGTCGTCGCAATTTCT